AATAGGCCTAATTACAGGAATTGGGATTAAACACAGTCGTCTCCTGGGTCCCAATTGTTGAGACTTAGAGGCAGGGGAGGAGTTTTCTTGGGAAATTCCAGGGCGATCCTGCTCGCCCTGAGCGGAATGTTACCAAGACATCAGTTGAAACTTAAAAGTAAGCTTGTATTTATTATTTGACCACCTATTTGAAAAAAAACATTCGGTATATTAGAGTAACAATGAGTCAGAACATAAGAGACATCAGGTGGTGTCATAAGCATACGTTTCGTTTTGAATTGTATTTCACTGCAGCAATTTAAAGTTCGACACGGATTATAAAGTCTTTTAATTTACCAGATCCAATAAATAATTTCTCGCGTATGGAGTTCGCCTTGAAAACTTACTCCGCCGATTTCTTTACGATTGGCCCGTATCCCCAGCTGATTCATGAATTCTTTGAGACCGAGTGCATAAAAACGAAGTTGGCCCGAATAAAATTATAGTAAATCCTCGCTTTCCGAGGAGCAATAAAGTCATAAATTTACTGTAAAGTTTTTATAAATGAAATAGAGAGAGATAGGGAAAGGGAAAAGGTCCTGGTACTTATCCCCTGGCCTATGAAACTTTCAGAATAATTTACATAAATTTCATATTTTATTTGATATTTGCGGAAAGGCTCCCTGCATAGGTAGCTCCCACGGGTTTATTGCGTCGACGAGAGTGGAAATTAATTTTTAAAGGGTCCACACCACTAACCATCCCAATGGGCACTCTCTTTATATAAAAAGGCTTCGACAAAATTAACGATGTGGATTAAGGCGCCCAGTGGGACACGGGGCCATTAATTCCGTCCACGTCACAGAATTAGGAGTTATAAGGACGAGGCCGGCACCCCGGGGGTCCTCCTACAAGGAGCGTACGATTTACAAAGCTCACCGACACTTTTGGTTCAATTCGATACTCCTTAAATTAAGTCTGATCTTTTGGAAGGGGGAGAACAAGTGGCTAAAACCGAGCCGGAATTATCCAAACCGTCTTTATGGATGAATTAAGATGTCCGAATGAAAGAAGAACTACTTTCAGATTGAAAGGGACTCAGATACATTTTCTTACATTACAATGAAAGCTGTGAATGTGATTTTCAATTATTATAACTGAAGAGTTAAGATATTATACTTAATAGTAAGAACAGAATAAAGCGGTCAGGAGTTCGTCAAGGTGATATCTTTGGGACCTGTCTTTTATTTTTACACTTTTGGCATTACTCTAAACTGCGTGCCTTCTTTTCATTTTCTCTTTTTGCCCTACTTACTTAAACTCGTGTTTTTAATTACAAGCTACTGACAATATGTATATCTCTTGATATATAATATAAGTAAAATATTATAAATTATTGAACGCACGAACCTCAGGCTTAGGCTTATTTTGAAAATTTTATCTAGCTGGGAGGAATTTACCCCCAATTATGACTTAAAGAGTGGTATATTATTACATATACAATACATATTTTTTTAATGTTTCGTTTATCGATAAATATTTGGAAATTTGAGGCAAATGTTAGAAATGTTTCTCTAGAAAATTACATATTCAATACATAGATTTTTTTATTTAATCGATAGACAATTATCGATGTTTTTGTGGTCGATAGGCAAGGTTTACGACATTTTTATAAATTGATAACCCATTTTAGATTTCGATAATCAAAATTCGATATTTTGGTTACTGAGAATTAACATTGATTTTTTAAAAATAAATCGATATTAACGACGTTTTTGATAAACAACGCTTGGTTTTTTGTTGTGGATAGTAATGTTATAAATCGATAGCCAATCTATGTTGTTCAATCGATATTAAAAACCCATATTATTTAATTGATAAACCACAATCGACCTTTGTGGTTTTTTTACAAACTGTTAACTATCGATATTCGTAAATTGATAACTAAATATGGTTATTTCTATTAATTCATAATCAGCGTTTGATATTTTAGTTAATCAATAGGAAACCGGACATATTTTATACATCAATAGTCAACCTTCAATAATTGTAACAGTTAAACAATCGTCAATCAGTTGATACAAAAACCTAGCTAAACCTATAATTCTATAACCTATTTTACAAATCAATAACCATGTGTAGATATTTTTATTAATCAATACTTTTATTTATTGATAATATAACTTCCATTGGTTTATTAATCGATAATCAACCTTACGAGCTTTCATTTATTAATAATAAATCTTCCATTGGTTTATTAATCGATAATCAACCTTTTATACGTTTATTCATTGATACTAAATCTTCCATTAGTTTATTACTCGATAATCAACCTTCCATACTTTTATTTATTGAAAATAAATCTTCCATTGGTTTATTATTTGATAATGACACTTACATAGTTTTATTATTGATAATAAATCTTCCATTAGTTTATTACATGATAATCAACCTTCCAAACCTTTATTTTTGATAATAAATCTTCCGTTGGTTTATTAATCGATAATCAACCTTCCATTGGTTTATGAATAGATAATCCATCTTCAATACTTTTATTTATAGATAATAAATCTTCCATTGGTTTATTAAACGATAATCACCCTTTCAAACTTTTATTTTTGATAATAAATCTGCCATTGTTTATTAATCGATAATAACTCTTACATACATTTATTTATGGATAATAAATCTTCCATTGGTTTATGAATCGATAATCCACCTTCAGTACTTTTATTTATAGATAATAAATTTTCCATTGGTTTATTAATCGATAATCCAACTTCCATGCTTTTATTTGTTGATAATGAATTTTCCATTGGTTTTTTAATCAATAATCAAACTTACATAGTTTTTTTAATCGATAATCAACCTTCCATACTTTCGTTTGTTGATAATAAATCTTTTTATTGATCGATAATTGATTCAGTATATTGAATAAATAATATGTGCTATGAATTGTTGAAATAATGGCATTTCAAGTAGAGAAATACAAAAAAAGACTGGCGATATGAATTATGTTAAATTAATCTATTGATAATATTTTTTGAAAATTGGTTGGTTACAATCTTAAAATTGCCCCCTTTATCTTTTTATTTGCAACACTTTTTAAATTAAAAAATGGTCATTTTATTACTTATTATCTACGAACCCTTACACGACTGTTTGACCGCAGTTATAACAAAGGTTAAGGTTGAATTTTAATTTTATTACACGAAACTGGTGAGAGAGGTTCGATCAAAATTTATCTTGTTTCACTACGTTAACCGTCTCGACGTTGCTCGTGTCATCGGAACAATTAATTCCACCAATAAAACAAGAACGGTCGGTGAATTAGTAATGGATATGAATAATCCTTTCGCCAGCCGTGGAAGCGACCCGATCCTGAAAGGGACTCGGCCCTTGTACACCATCATCTAGAAACAGGTCCCCGGCCTGTAATGTATGTCCTGACCAAATGTCCGTGGAAGCGGCGCTTCTGATTGCCCCGGATTTATGGTCACCTCCACCCCGGACGTACAAATATACACATCCCACCGTCCAGTAAATTATACACTTATTAGAATACCATACCAACGGCCCTCCTTGTTTACACTAGGGTCTATTTGTCTTCCCATCAACCCCGAGGAGCGCCCCGCAGGGCGAAAACCACCCTGGCGCATATTTTATCATCCTATTACAACCGAAAAATGAGAAATTAACCGTTTTGGGAGGCTACTACAATATCATGTAACAGTCCTACAAAGCAAGGATTATTACATCGCCATGACGAATCTGTATTTTTTTATTCTGAATGTATAAAAACCAAATTTCTATGAAGTGTGTGATCGTTTCTCTTTAGCTGTCTCGGCACAGATCTCTAAAATACGAATATTTGTCATTTCCCTTTTACTGAAGGAAATCGAGGGTTTTTGACAACCAAAGAAATTGACACAAATCGATTCTTATGATGGTAATGCATATTTATTTGGGTGAATATAATGTATCACATTCTTTTCAACGAAATGGAATTAAAAACACAGACGCAAGTACGCAGTTCTGTATATTTCTCCGTAATATTTGTTCATAATATACGTACATTAATTTGTAAATATATATATAAACAATCAAGTAGATAAAAATATTCTCATACAAGCAGTGTTTAAAATAGGTTAAATATTCAAGCAAAAGAGTACAAGGATATAAACAGGGCAAGCAAATCGCAGGTTATATTCATTTATGCGAATATTGAACTCGAAATGGGCTCTTGAAGCATTTAAATATTTTTTGGAGAAGACCGGCGTACTGACATAATCGGTCACAATCTGTTAAATTAATTAGTTTGTGCATTAGCCAAATTATTTCTTATCTTTCAAATTTTATTTTATTTACTTCTTTATTTTCCACGTTTCTCTCTCTTTCTCGCTCATTCTTTCTCTTTCTCTCTCCCTCTCTCCCCCTCTCTCTCTTCAAAGATTTGTTTCTATTCCGTTCTTTTAGTGTCTTAAGTAGCAACTGTAAAAACGTGTAAACGATATTTCTTTAAAAAAGGAAAAAAGGTGGTTCATTTCAGCAAATATTGAGTATGAAAATTGCCAAGAGGGCAATTACGCAAGTGTGTTATAGTGTGCTGTTTAACCGAGCACAGCAATTCCCGATAGGCGAGCCGGGGAAAATTTATTATTTCGCATAAAAGTAAAAACGGAAGTGTTTTAATTTATCGCGGCATGTCCAAACATGCAATAATAATTGATCACACGTCGTTCACGATGTCGGTGGGGCTTTTTGCCCCCAGAGAGTCAATAATTAATAAGCGGGCTGTTAATCGCAAATTCAACTCGCGTAAACTCGTCATTTAAAATGTTTTTCATTGGATGCCTATTAGGAAAGAAATATTAGATGGACTGCGGTGAAATCGGTGGATGGAGCAGATCAATTAAGACTAAAAGATTACTTTTATTTATGTGTTTTTTCATTTACTTCTACGTTAACGATTAAAGGCGTCAATTAACTGAAATTTAATAATATTTGATTGATTGACTTACCTGATGGAAGCCGAGGTAATTTTCGATAGTGTGGGTGGCGAAGAACACCTCTCCTTCGCAGGTCAGTATTAACAAGAAACCGTTCAGCGCCTGAAAAATAAGGAAACTATTTTTATTGTTTTCCTGATACCTTTTGTAGTCGAAATTCTGCAGAGTGTAGGACAAGATAAATCACCATTAAAACGTCTCTTTGGGCAAGTGAGGGAGCCCGTGCGCGCGCCGGTCGTCGATAAAGCATTAATTGCGCTACTTTTCGGGTGTGGGCTGTCGCAGAGGAAATGAAAGTGGTCTCCATTACTGGTAATGACCCGGGGAGTGGCCATCTTGCTCATGGATTTGTCTCCCCGAGAGGAAAAGAAAGAGAGGGCGGATGGTTCAACCCTTGTTTTTTACCCCCGATCCACCCTGGGACCTTCGGGACAAATCACATCCGCCTCCGGGTCCACCCCTGTGTCAAACCGCCATTATCTCAAACAACCCCTCTTCATAGGGGCTGGGCGACAATTGGCCGAAACCTTTTTATTCAAAAAAAGGGGAGAACAATACAAATTTTTTACAAGTAAGTCGTAAATGTTAAATTGATTTCATACCATCATGGTCTACCAACATGCATTGTTTATGCGTACATAAAAGAATGTTTCATGTATCTTATGAACTACCTTATGAGTAATTTTCCAATGTAAACAAAACATTTACAAGTGAAAATAGATATTTACACTACAGCGGGTAATAGTGTTTTAGATGGACTAATACCTCAGAAAAAAAAAAAAAATTAAACGTAACATGGCAAGGAAAATGGTTCTCGCTCAGCCGGCTCATGAATCTGATCCGTTAGTTTCTTTTTGGGGAACCATAGTGATAAATAAATAATTAGGAAAACAGCGAATATAGACTAGAGATAATATTATATTGATCGAAACTGATGAAGGAAGAAGTAAGATTATTTAGTTAAGTTCATGATTTGAATAATTATTATTACGAATCATACATTATTTACTGATTTATCTATAATATATAAAAATGTGCTGTAACGGCCGGCTGTCACTTAACAGCTCCCGTACATGGTAAAAAAGTAAGGCCCAATAAAGTTAGACGAACGTCATTAAATTTCAGGCTTCTAATAATTACAATTACGTATAATATATTATTAAAATTTTTAAATTTGTTAGGATTTTTATTATTTTTAGCGTTTTATCAGTTGAATAGTCGTATTTTCTGAAACTTGGAAACCTCCTCATATAGCTGAACCGTTAGTTATCAATGTTCATTTTTATCTCAGCAAAATATAAGTCTATCAAAACATAGCATTTGATGTAATAAAATTATTAATATATAATTATTTATTAAAGGGTTAATCTCGCTGAGTTGATACACCGTTCAGATATACTGCAATATTATCGGGTCCGCCGAGTTTCGCTATTGTAATAAGTACAGAATGACAGAAAGAATGAATGTAGGACGACTGAAGATTATCCGATTATAATAATGATTACTATTACTAAAGTATTGTATTGGCCGGTCAACTCTGATCATCCGTGCATCTGGTTACGATTTTTTTAAGCCTCAGAAAAAGTTTAGACGAATGTCAACTCAAGTCCATGGCTTTCAATAGTTATAATTACGCATGATATATTATTAACTATTTTAAATTTGGAAAGATTTGTATTATTTAGTATTAAGTGTTTTTTTACCGTCCTCTGAGCCGAGTCGAGAAGCCGGTGTAAAATACAGAATAGTCGTACCTGGTCCGGCTTGTTTCGCTGTAGCGAATCATTCCGTTAAATGAACAATTTTTTAGCACCCTATAAGATGTGTAGTTCCATTTTTTGAAACAGGACATTTCCTCCCTGTTTTTCGGTGAATCGTTTACTTATCAATGTTATCTTTTAATTCAAACAAATATAAATCAATAAAATATAAAGTTTTGCGTATTAAAATTATTAAATAAATTATTTATTCAAGCCCTCGGGAATCACTTAGTAAACTTATCGGGTCCGTCTAGTTTCTCTGTTGTTAATCATTATGTTGAATGACGAAAATGGAAAGTAAGGCGACTAGTAATTATCATAACAACACAATATTATAGTAATCGAACAATTGGCACCTGACAACTTCGTCGACCTGGTGATGAAATTTCATCAGGCCTCGAGAAGTTGGACAAATAAGTCAATAAGTCCTTGAGTTAGGTCATTATAATTACGAATAATTCGTAATTTAAAAATATTTCATGATATGTTGTATATTTAGTATTTTTCTAGCGTCCTGTATTCTAGTGTTGCAGGTTCGCCTGGTTTCGCTGAATCTTTTCATATTACGTTTTAACTTAGAAGGCTTTTTGAGTGTTTTTAAAGATATACGTCGAATAAGAATTGCTTAGGGCTAATACGTATATACTGAAAGCTTTATTTAAATGTATGAAATGCCCGTTAGTAGAATTGTACTTTTGTTTATGTTTTAGAAAAATAGGCCGAATTTCGCAAAGTAAAAATTGCCGGTTGAACCGAAAATTTTTGGACTTAAATTATGCTCGGTGGTAGGACTACGCTTTTTCTGACGAGTTTTGATCCTGGTGATTTATCTTTTTAAAAGGGAATATGAATGCGGAATTGATGACAGTGAACGATTTGATTCTCACGCAATGCAATATGTAGGATAATTCCAGTTTTCTCTTATGCGCAGGAAATTTACTCCAGGTTTATAGATCTCCAGGTCGGAAAAAGGCGCGTTGCGACGTTGCATTCTTGATGAGCTCCTCCGAATGCAAATCGCCGCCGGCAAAGCCCACCGGTAAAAGACACGCTATTCGTGTTGAACCCGTGAATGGACACGAAAAGATGCTTTTAAATATTGACGGCGATTTTCCCCTGCCGGTTCCTCCGCGGCTCGCCTCGTCTCGCTGTTTCATCCAGCCGGCCAGTCGACCCAGGCCCGAGGATGAAATCACTGCTGCCTCTGAATAATGGAGGTGATTGTAAGATATAAATATAGATGTGTGTTGTAGGGGCTGCGTCGGCGCGGGGCCCGGCTAGATCAATACAGGGAGAGGGTCCCGTCTATCGACCTGGCTAATGTACTCTTACCACACCGAACACCTAACGCTGTAATTGTCTTACTACACAACTCATCACGCTAAATTTCAGAGAGAACTCTTTTCCCCCCAACGGTCAAGCTAAACTATCAAAAACGCCTATATAAATTTAAAAAAAACCCTCTGTACGGTATTCTTAAAGCGTCAAAAAAATCTTCGTGGTAAAGACAAAGAAAAAAAAAAAAAAAAACAAGACGAACCGATCATGAATGAAACCACATATTTTTAAAATCGCCAAGTTACACATGTTTTGTTCTGTCTTATACTGGGAATCTCATGTGGAGGGCAAACAGCCAAATTGATCGTGCTGTATCTTAAGCCTTGTGATAAACTCACCCCGATATTCATGTCTTCAGAATTACATATTTTGACAAAACTTGCCGGCGTCGGACTACATGAGATTGTGAACTTTTAATATTTTTGTACTAGAATAGTTTTCGGCACAATCTCCAGCCAGATAGTACTAACAAATATAGCACCAACGGGGAGTTCAGAAACAGAAGAGTGGAAGTTCTATCGGCTATAGAGAGCTGTATATATTTTTAACGGTTTACTCTAATAAGACAATTTTAATATTATATATATATATATATATATATATTTAGTAGTCACAAGTTACCGTATTAATTAATTATACTTTTTATTTAAGGTCTTGGTTGAAATGAAAAGTATAATTAATTAAAATGTTAATCATTTTTATATTTGTTGGTTGTAGGTACCTGTAAATACCATAAACTCCTAATACAAATATTACATTATAACGTATACAATGATTCATGAACCCCAAAACATACCACCTTACCTACATATTTCGATTTTCTTGGTGCAAGCAGAAAAAGATAAACGATTTGACAGTTTGTTGTAAACCGTGGTCCGCAGATTCTCGCTGTTAGCCGGTTCTCACCTCTACCTTCTAGCAACTGTCATATAAAATTCCAAGATCCTCTATTCATTTAACTCAAAAAGTTTATTTCAAATAGCATCTCCACAAATGTGGAAAGGAGGAAAATGACTTTAAACTAAAAACAAACAACTTTCAGAGCAAGTATATATTAATATTTCTAAATTTTAGGCCGAAGTGTATTAAAACTACAAAACCTTTTTCGTTAGCTATTCGTTATTATGTAATTTTTAAAACTAATTATTACTCAACTGGGCTTTGTGAGCTACAATGCATAATAATTTTAAAAGATAGTTTATAAAAAACTTTTCTTTTTATGGGTTTTTAGGTTTCTGATATTGAAGTTAAGTTTATGTTTTTGTTGTGTGAGTGTTGTCAGATTTTACTAGCTATACTTTAACGTGCCGAGTAACATAACATGTAGTATGTGTTTTTAATCTGTGTTCATTTTCTGCCAGTTTGCCCACGGGCTCGCATGTTTTGCGTCCGTGCTGTCTGTCGATTTCTCGTCAACCGGTTCAAAACCCTGCTGTCATAAATGTTTCGATATACATTGGAAATCCATTAATCTACACAAGGCGCTTTGTGATAACAAAGTAAAAAAAAAAAAAAAACCTCGCTCGCTAATTAATATAATCCATAATAGGTGGATTATGTTAAAAGTGGCGTGCCTCGGAGATAAGTATGTTGGCTTTCCAGCAATATATTTTCATACTTATTACTAATCACGATACAAAGGCCGGAACATTTTCACCATTTGGCTTTTTATTGCATGCGAATTGCGGAAAACGAGATTTGGATCGTGCTCTAATTGGCGCGGGGTCTGATTATAAACGATTATTTGAGATATCCTACACAAATAGTTCCTCCCAATGACCTCGAAATTCAAACCCATAGCTGATCATTGTTTCCACAGTAAGTGCTATCGGTAATTGTAAGTTTTATACAACATTTAAAATTAAGCTAAATGACGGATCACATTTATATTATTATTTATTCTTATTATTCAAATCGATGAAGCCCACTTGAATACAGCATAAATTGAGGTTCATGAGTTAGAAATATTATTCACCAACAGTTTTACTCAGATATTAACTTTCA